GACATCTAAATGCAACTAGAAAGAACGGTTTCTCTCTAAATTGTTTAAGTGGTCATGGGGTATAATTCTTTAAATTATTTTCCTTTTCTGAAAGCAAAAGCAAATCACCTCAGTTTGACACTCATGGCAAGCGAGACAGGGTCTCACTATATAGTCAGAACTCTGCTCATAAGTCCCCGCTTCTACCAGGAGCAACCGCTGCTCGTCAAGCACCTCCCACTAGCGTACGTGTGCTGTCACGCTTGCTCTTCCCGTAATGCCTCGGGGAGGCTGTTTCACAGAGCATGATGCTGCAGACTCCGACAGGGTAAGAGACAAGCCATGCTAGCTGGGTGTGGTGGCGCACGCTGGCATCCCAGCGCTGCGGGAGGCTGAGGCAAGACTATCGAGACTTTGAGCCTAACCTGGACAACTGAGCCACTTAGTGAGACCCTATCTCAAAACAAAAAGCAAAACAAACAAACTGAGAAAAAGTCTGGGGATGTAGCTCAGGGTGAAGGCTCTGGGTTCTATCCTCAGTATTGAAAAAATATTGCCATCATCATCTCGTAAAAAGTAGCACAGTCTGGTGTAAGTGCTGATCCAGGTGACGCCAGAGCCTACTTCTACTAGTTACAGCACCCCTTGCTTACAGTCCTCCTGGGCTCCTCGGATGCAGCACTCGAACAACCTCCTTAGAAACCCTTTCTCTCTGGATGTGGTGGCGCACGCCTGTAATCCCAGCACCCGGGAGGCTGAGGCAGGAGGATCACCATGAGTTCAAGACCAGCCTGGGCTACACAGTGAGCTCAAGGCCAGCCTGAGTTCAGGCATAGTGAGACCCTGTCTCAAAAAGACAAAGAAAAGAAAAAAAGAAAAGAAAAGACTTTTTCTCTTCTGTGGCATCCACACTTCGTGATCCGGAGTTCCCAGGTTGAGGGGGTGGGCAGGGGTGCCAGGCCTGTACTGTCCTTTCTGTATAGTCCCTGCATTTATTATGGCTGGTGTGAAGGCAGTCAGTGAATGGTGAAATAGATGATTTAAGGGAAACAATTATACATCCTGAAATTTTGCGGTAAGCTCAGATTTAAAGTTGGAAGGAAACCAGGAATTTAACCCAATGTTCTCATTTTCCCACCAGTCAGAGGAATCGAGTCTCAAAGAAGGGAGGTATGATTTTCCCAGCTCTGTGCCACTGCCAAACTAAATGAGTTTTACTCTGGGATGTTCCTGAGACTGGTGGACCTATTTCAAAAGTTACAAAGCAGGGCCATACCTCAGTTTGTAAGCTGTATAAAAATAAGAATAGCTGGGTATGGTGGTGTACACCTATTATCCCTGATCTTGGGGAGGCTGAGCCAGGAGGAGTCTAGCCTGGGTAACTTAGTGACTGAGCGAGACCTTATCTCAAAATAAAAAACAAGAAAGGCCTGAGGATGTAACTCAGCCAGAAGGCTCTATGTTTGATCTCCAGTGCAAAACAAAAAAACAAACCAAAACCCAAAAGATCCTAACATGTAAAAACAAAATCCCAAGGATCTGAATTTCAAGGAACAGAGATAACATTGAAAATTCCAACTTCCAACTACAATGACTTCCTTATTGATCATCCATATTATTTATTAGGTTGTTTTTTTTTTGTCTTTTTGAGACAGGGTCTTGTCACGCAGTTCAGGCTGGCCTTGAGCTCACTTTGTAGCCCAGGCTGGTCTTGAACTCACAAGGATCCTCCTGCCTCAGCCTCCTGGGTGCTGGGGTTACAGGTGTGCAACATCACGCCCGGCTATTTATTACTTCTTTTGAGAAACTCTTCATTGGAAGGATTGAAATCAACTCTGAGACCCTTCTCAGGCGCAAGCAAATCATCTTGCAAACAGAGCACCTGCTCCGAAGTGGTGAGGAAGGCCTTGGGCTCTGCACCACAGACTGCCCAAGGTATGTGGCCCTGTCACGTTCGCATAGACCGAGCCTTATATTCACACATCTCACAGCTATGCTGCGACTCTGCACAGCTGCACCCTATCGATCAAGAATGGAAAGAATCCCTTCCTGTCTCTTCACCCCTGCTGCTGGCTGCTCTTCCAGTCGGACCTGATCTGCCAAGGAACTGTCGGATCACCTTGTAGGAGTCACCAGGCCGGCAGGCCCGACCTCAGGCCTTGGTGCTTCCATCCTCCCTGCCCCACACCCGCTCCCATCCATCCCATCCATGGGCAGCAAAGCCCAGGGACCGCGTCTACTGCGCCACAAAGCAATGAACCCTGGGGTGTCCCAGTTTTCTCTAAAGAATGCAGTTCGGTCATTTCCTTTCCTGACAGTCCTGAGGGACTCTCTCTGCTCTTCCATAACATGGAAAAGAAACTGGGCTTCTCCTTTTGCTTTCTCCACTGATTTCCCCTTTCTGTGTACATGGCTTCAAAATTATGATCTCCTAATATTTGCATTTTATTATTATTTTTCTCGTGCCTAGAGCTATAAGGTAACCTGAGCCTGATTTTTTTGTTTGTTTGTTGGTGTGTTTCTCTTTTGAGACAGAGTCTCGCTAATGTAATTCAGGCTGACCTTGAACTCACTATGTAGCCTAGACTGGCCTCAAACCCATGGTGATCCTCCTGCCTCAGATTCCTGAGTGCTGGGATTATAGGCGTGCGCCACCATGCCTGGCACACTTTAATTCTTTTTCATCCCCTTCCTTTCCCATCCCTCCCTGCTTCCTCCAACTCTTGGTCCTCTTCTCATGTGCAAGGGCTCTATTTCCATTTTTTCTTCAATTCTTTCTTTTTTTTCCCATCTCTTTTCCCTCCTTTCTCTCCCCCTCTGTCTCTTGATCCCCTTCCCATTTGAAAAAGAGCTCCCTATTTCCTATTATCTATCTTATTTTCCAGCAACATTTATTTTTTAAGAATCATTTTCTGGGCATGGTGGTGCATACCTATAGTCCCAGCGCTCGGGGGCGCTGAGGCAGGAGGATGGCTGTGAGTTCAGGGCCAGCCTGGGCTACATAGTGACACCCTGTTTCAAACACAAAAACAAACAAACAAAAAAAGAAAGAATCTTTTTTTGGCAAGGTTGCCCTCTTGCCAAATGTTCTTCTCGTATTAAACTACACTACCTTCTCCAGTGCTGAATATTTCTGTGCTTAGTATGGGTTATATGGAAGTATTTATTTAGATTTTTCTTTATTTCCTGAAGGCAAGAGTACTATTACTCCCAAATGCTGACCATCCATTTCGTGCCAGCTACCGCCTAGGCCTGGGCAGGCCAGGGTAGGGGGCAACCGAACACTTAAACATGTGGCTGGTTCAAGTTAAGATGGACTTCCAGTGTGAAATACTTGAGTTAGCTTTCTGCCGCTTCTAATGAGGATCATTATGTTGATGAGGACTGTGGAGAGGATGGCCAGTTAATAAGGAGTTTGTCCTTTCCCAAGGTGAAACTCTGCTTTTATTACCACTGGGCTCTCAAGGAACCAGGACATCTTCAGCTGGTGCAGTCTTGCCCCGGGGCGTCGTAGATCTCGGGATCACTGAGGCCTCAGCTGTGACCTGAGGCGTATGGAAATTCTGTTCCTGCAAAACATAGCTGGCCTGCGTGGCAAGATACTAGGCCTCAGACAAGCCCTAATCACAATTTAATTATGAAATGGTTCTTTTCCCCAGCAGTTATATAGAATGGTCCTTGGCAGATCCCCCTTTTTGTGTTTGTAATTGCTGCAGTTGGAGTGGTGCACAGGCTCTGATGGTTTACACGGCAGCAAGCACGTTGTCAGGAATTTGTGGGAGGGCTCGTTGGTCAGCACGCAAGCCTCCTGCATCGTGTTCTTTAGTGGTCCCCATGTCCTGAGTTTTGTAGCCTGCGTGGGTCTCAGTGCTTGTGGTGTCGGTTTTTCTCCAGAGACATCCTCGAGAAAGCTTGTACTGGAGGGCCGGGTGGGAACGGGTTCTACCACGGGGCCGGGGTGGTTTTCTCCCCAGGGTCACATGTTCCAGCAGGGCAGCCGTAACAGGGTTCCACTGTTTGTTCACTCGCAAGCATCCTCTCCACCCCCTGTTATTAACTGCCCTGGGCTATCCCACTTTCCTGTTGGGGTGTCCTGTTACAGGACTCGAGCCCTAGGTGAGCTCTTCAGATTTGCCCTTTTGCCAATGAAGTTCTGATAGACGGTATTTACTTTCTGCAACTAGGTATTTTTAAAAAATTAAGGTAAAGATATCAAGATCTAATTATGCATGTGGAGGTAATCATATTCCCCCTTTTTGTTTTGTATTGTGCCTCCAGCCGCAGTTGTCTTCTGCGCTGACCTTTCCAGGGCCCAGCCCTGTCAGACTGCCTACAGTATTTTAAAATAACTTAGCTACCTACAATACCCCTGCTTCTAAAGAAGTATCCCTCACTTTGGTTATGGAGGAATGGGCGTAGAGTTCATCTTAACTGCTTCAAGCTGAAAAGGGTCAATGTTAGGGAAGACCGTCATCAGGAGACTTCTCCAGAGAAATAAATGTTAAACCATAAATAAATGAGGTTTTTTAAAAAACTGATTTAAATCTCACAATAAGGAAACTTAAAAATTTCATTTTGCTCCACATTTGTGACTCCATTATGTTTGTCAGACAGTGCTGTCTATGCTTTTCATGTACTCACAGTGAATGAATATAACTGGCTATACCATCCTCAACTCTGAGGAGAGCTACCAGCATCTACTAGGAAAGAATCACACAAACTCAGGGTTTGATGGAGATTTATTGTAATGCAATGCAGTCTTTTCATTTTGTGCCTGAGAATAATGAGTCCTAGAGAGATTTTGATGCCTAGTATACCATCCATTGAATTAAGACAGAAAAGACAGGAGGTTCATTTTCCCCAGTTTATGGACCTCTTTCAGCCATGATGGTCTCGTTCTTTGCAATCAAACACCTGTCCAAGGAAAACCACCCTGGGCTGAGCTGTGATCTCATCTAGGACTAACCGAGCTGGGCTGGGCAGGGAGGTCCAGGCTGTGCTCTGGGACAGTGGGGGATTGTGACATCATCAGTGATGGCCTCAGTATCCCACTGCTGGTCCTCCAGTCCCAGCTGTTACTGCAAGTCCATTCCTCTACCATGAGTGTGGAGCAGCTAAAATCAGCAGATCCACATGTAACTTGAGACGACAGACTGGCTCTGGTAAATAATCCCATTTTTAAATTTGGAAAGTGACCCACTAGAATATTGTTACTTTTTTTTGTACGAAGGGGATAATGGTGCCTAATTTCCTAGGGACAGTGTCTGACGTTCTTCCCTTTTTCCAGATGAAGGATTCCTCTTCTAAATGTTCCAGAAGTGGAGGAAAGAGTCCTAGGCAGCCCTCCACTAGCTTTTCTGATGACATCTTTTGAGGAAGGGGAGAGGAGAAAGCTTTCGTTTCCAACCCCTACTCTGACAGGGGAGAAGGAGGAGGAGGATGGATTTGGCATAAATCTGGGGGACTGTGGTGGCCACTTTAGACTTCTTATGGCCGTACCAGGCTCCATCCCTGAGCCTGAGGTCTGACCATGTCTGCCTCACTCTTTTAAACATTGTTATGGGTCTGGGGATGTAGCTGCTAGTGGTAGAACCTCATGCTTAGCAGGCATGAAGCCTGGGATTTGATCCCCAGCACACAAACAAATAATGCTATCATTTTGAATTGATAAGAATCTAAATGCCATGTTTTACTCAAATCCAAATGGGTTGTATAGGTCAAATAGGTCATCTCATTGACATATTTATAAATAAGCAAGCCTGAACTCAATAAACATATTTATGTAACTGTTAGGCAAAATTGAATGTACTGAAGTTAAGGGGTTGTGGTACTACATCCCAGACTACTGCCTTTGTGGTAACTGCATATATAGTTAGGCTTAAAACTCCTGAGGCTTAATTTTAGCTAGCTGAACTACCAGAAATGTTAGCAATCTGTCTTAAGATTTCTTCTGCTAAGAACAAATTTCTTGTGTGTGTGTGTGTGCGTGTGTGTGCGTGTGTGTGTGTGTTTCCGGTACCAGGAATCGAACTCACGATCTTGCGCTTGCCAGGCAGGCACTGTGCCACTGAGCTAAATCCCCAGCCCCAAGAACAAATTCTTGAAGTGTGATATCCTTAGTTTTGTGTTTCTTTAAACAGAATTGTGACTATTTTATCAGGGAATATTCATTTTGACATGAATTTATAAGCTTTTGCAGCAATAGCAACAATTATTTTCAACTTGAATGCTTTACCTCAAAGTATTAATTTGCATATGTTGCTATAGGTATACAGCAAACATATATGTGTATGTGTGGGAAGTTAGACTCAGAATAGGTTTCAGCTAGACGTTTCCATCATAGTTCTTATCACTGTATTGAGACCGGTACTATAAAAACAATCTTTTCAAATTCTGTACCTGAAGAAACATAAAGCCTTCACTCAAATATTTAAAATCTCATGAAAAAAAGTCTTATGAACATGTTAATGAATACCCTTTTGTTAAATATTGTAATTTATGCTTTATCTTCAGGACTCTTTTCCACTTTAAAAATAACCGGGACAATTTTAACAAATGTGTTTCTCTCACACAATGATGATGATTGAGTAATAATTCTCCATTTCACATTCAGTACTATAGCTAGGAAGTGTGTGATGGGTACAGTTGCTACTACATTTACCATCAGACCATATGGCACAATTTACATCTGCCAAGGAGAACAGCTATTGCACACAATAGGAAACAATAGAGGCTTTTTATTTTATTTTTTTGTGGTGCTGAGGATGGTCCCAGGGCCTCAGCTATGCTGGGCAAGCACTTTATCTCTGTGTGCTACCCTCAACCAAAGGTACTGTCTTAAGACTAATTAACAGACTCAGGTTCAACAGCTCTTCTTTCTTTTGTTTATTCAGTTATTACTGTGTAGCACATACATTTGTCCCATAGGTAAGACCTCTGCTTTTACACTAAAAATTCAAAGGTATGTGCAACCAGGTCGCAGAGCAGCGCACACTGTGGAGAGGAGGTGATCCTGGAGGCAAATGATGATCACGTGATGTCACACTAAGCGTGACAGAAGCACATGCTAGGTATCACACAAGTACAGAAGGAGAAATATGCAGAACAGCTGGAGCCTCGGGATGAGTAAGGAGTAGGTCACAGAGAAGACATCTTTGAGTTAATTACTGAGCTCTGGGTAGGAAATACATCCTGGTGCTTAAGAAAACAGACTAGTTACATTGTATGCGTTTAAGTCCCCCATCCCTGCTAACTTGCTTTGGAGCCTCTGTCATGGTATTTACTATCTCTGTGCTTCATTTTTCCTCTCTGTGAAATGGGCATAATAACCTAGTACAGCTCCAGGGGTCAAGTGAGGATTACATGAAGGTCAGGGGTATAGAGGCAGCACATGACCCACGGAAAGTCCTCATTTAGTGTCAGTGACTGTGCCAGGGGTAGCAGAACGAGGGAAAGCTAGGGTGACACAAGGGACAGAGCAGGACAAAGGTTCGGCTTGTTAAAACCGATCCACGAGCTGAACTTGTGTGAGGGGTGGTGGGGAAGGGCAAGAGAATGGACAGATTAGGAGAGAGAAATTCTATACCAAAAAGCTCAGGCTAGAGCAGTCCCTCAATTTTCAGGAAGATATTCGGATTTGCATTATAGAAAAACAACCCTGGTCCTGAGGAAGAGTAGAGCCTGGGAGATTAGGTAAGAGAAGGAGTGGTTAAGTCAAGAGAGATGATAGAGGCTTAGCCAAGGGACTGAGGGTAGAGTTGAGATGTGAGAGCTCCCTAGGAGACAAAATTGATAAGAGTTGGTAATAGCTTAGATGGGGGTGGTGTCTTTAGTTTGGATGATTGGTGAGAAGAGAGAAGGAAAAGGAGGTTTGAGGATAAGGTTTTGGATTTGTCAAGCTTGGAGGGCCAGTGGGATGACCAGAATTAGGGCCTAGGCCTGCTACTCCGGAGCTAGAAGTTAAGCTTTTGGACTCCTTGGGAAGCAGGTTGGCATTGTGAGAGCATGACACAGGTTATATACAGGATGCAGGGGTGATTCTGTAAAGTCCAACATTTAAGAGCCAAGAGCGAAGCCAGCAGGGGGGAGAGGCTACAGAAGGAAGAAGAAGATGCAGAAGAAAATGTGTCATGGGAAATGACAGAAATCCAAGGAGGAAGCCTTCAAGTGCAGAAGTGAGGTCAAGAACTGTCCCTTGGCAATTAGGAAAGTGTAAAGGAAATCCACGAACAATTGCTTCCATGAAGCAAAACACACTAGGACAAGAGATACAGAACCCTCTTCATGAAGACCCTAGATATTAGTTGATATCTGAGGTCAGTCTAGTGTTTTAAGGTGCTAGGTGAATTCCAAGAAAACCTCCATGGAGGTGGTCCAGTATCCGGCTTGGTGCAAAAGACAGATCTGGCCTGCCTTGGCTGTTTTTTCCAGCCCAGCAAGAGGCCTTCCCACACTGGTAGCCTACACTAACTGCTGGTGGGAAGAACGAAGGAGTGAGTGAACGTCTGCAGCCCCCAAAGATCCGCCTTGCTAGAGCCCTGGGAGTTCTCAACGCATGGCTGTTTCCAGGGAGTATTAGGCCCTCAGGAGCTACCAAAAAAAGTGGATGTTTTGATAAGAACACCAAACTTGTCAGGTAGAAGGGCTGATCTGGTAGTGTTTGCCTGTGTTGGAGGAAGACAGTGTGGGCATGATGATGGCCTGCTCAGGCTGGCCTTGTTATCAGGTACATATAAACTCCTGGTTCAATCTCAGATACGATTTTCTTAGTACATTTGCTCTATTACCTGGTTGTTTTTTTTTTTTTTTTTTTTCATACCGGAGTCAAACTCAGGACCTTGCCCTGGCCCACCTGTTTTCTTCCTTCCTTCCTTGGTGTGTAAAGATTCCCTGGATGGGGAGGGGGACTCCTGGGGATTGAGCCCAGGGCCTCAAGCATGCTAGGGAAATGTTCTATCACTGAGCTACGTCTCCACTCCTTTCTATTTTGAGATAGGTTTTCTCTGTTGCTCAAACTGGCCTGGAATTGGCAATTTCCTGCCTCAGCCTCCTTGAGTAGCTAAGCTGCCCTTGGGCTGGACAGTAACTTTCTAAGGCCAAGGACCCCTTCAAATGAGTCTTTTTGAACTCTTTGCAGCATGTATTTGTCCACTTGATCCCCAGCTAAGAATCCTGCTACTCCCTAGCCTCAGCTGATTTACAATGCAAAGTAGGTCATGCTTGGACTGTCAACCGGGTAGGACATGAACCCTTACTGAAAAAAACGCCCTACTGATACCTTCCAAACTTATTCTGGAAGGGTGAACTTTCAGGGGAGCTTTTAGGGCAAGCAGTAGGCAGCCAATGATACCAGACCTTGGACTGCCACGTCTGGGGCTTCTAATGCCCAATCTCCTCCCTGGGGAACTTTGGGGTATCCTCCGGGTCTCCCGGGGACACTGAGGTCTGGGAAGAGCCTGTGCTACTGCAAAGAGCGCCGGGGCGCCCACAGAACTGGGCTAAGGTCTCTTCTGGATTCTCACATGGAGGTGATGCCCTTCGGGTCCTGGACGCGAGAGGGGGGCAGGGGTCGGGGCACGGGGGGGGGTGGAGGTGATTTTAGTTCCTCCTTCCTTTTTGGAGGCATTGATGGGGAGGGGTGGTTTGGGGCGCCCCGAGGGCCTCAACGCCCTTTTCGGCCGCTCCTTGCGGCTCAAGTTGCGGGGCGCGGAGGGCCTGCTCCCGCGCGGTGCGGCCGCGGCGGCCGTCCGAGCGCAGGCGGAAGGAGCGC